TCCAGAAGAGATTAAAAACTACGCCTCGTTATATCTCTCCTCCTCCTCCTCCGACGAATTCCACGCGTACTGGAAGTCGTGCCCGTACAGGTTTGAGCTGCTGGCCGCTCCGAAGACCCCTCCCTCCCTCCTTCCTCGATGAATTCCAACCCCACGACCACCGGCTCCTGACCTTCTCTCCCCAGGGCCCCAGCACGTTCGCGACGGCAGCTTCGCCAGTGCCTTGGCGGCTGCTTCCGCCGCCGCCGCCGCCCGGCCTTCCACGAGTTTTTCCACCCCACAGGCTTTCTCTCGTGCCTCCACGATTTTCCGCGCCATATCCGCCCGCGTCAAGGGAAAGGGCCCAGTCAAATCGTGGGCGGGTTGGTCAGGGTAGGCGACCCTCTCGGCGTTCGTCAAGGCCCGCCGGCCCAGCAGGTGGGGCGCCATCTGCCGGGCGGCGTCGATGACGTTCCCATGCACGTCCCACTGGAGCTGGTCGTAGTCCCCCACAAAGTACTGCTCCGAGGCCACGCGGGCGTACCGGGATTTCTCCTCTGGCCCGAAGAGAAGCAGGCGGCCGCAGGCATCCGCGACGCTGAAAGACCAGCCATCCGCGGAAAATTGACCGTCCACCAAGGCGACAGGGTCCCCCAGGTTATAGTCGTTGCCAGGCGGGCCCCAGAGCAAGACGTTGGTGAACGCCTGTAAGCATCTCCCCGCCTCCACGTCCCACAGGCAGACTTTACCGTCGTAGCCGGCCGACATGATAATCCGGGCGTCCGAAGGGTGGACGGCGAGGACGGTGGACTGACGCCGGTGTCCTTGCAGCACTCTCAGCAGCTTTCCCGTCGCCGGGTCCCAGAGCTTGAAATGCTGTTGCCAATCCCCTTGGTCTGGACTGTCACCTGCCGCCGGCTTGGTGCTGTGCGCGGTGACGATCCTCTGGTCATCGCACGTCCACAGCGCGTTGTCCACGGTGGGAATGGATTCCTTCCTGCTCGCACTGCCTCCCCCGTTTTTGGGAGCCCGCCGTTCCGAGGCATGCCCTCCTGACCCTCCCCCCACAGTGCTCGCCCCCCCGAGGCCCGCGTTCCACCCTCCTTCCTCCTGTCTGGCCTCTCCCTCCCCACCCACTTCATAGCCAGCGTCTTCCTCTGCCACAGCATGCGGATCCAAAAGCACGTTGCTCAGTTGTGTGTATCCCGGCCCCCATGACCACACGCGCACGAACCCCTCGGGCATCGAGCCCGTGAAGAGGCGGTCGCCCAGATTGCTGTAGTTGATGTCGGTGACCGCCGACTTGTGCGCCTGCAACCGGCAGACCAGCGTGCTCGTGCCTTCCTCTTGTGACGCGGGAGGTCCGAGTCGATCGTGTGGCGGCTGCAACGCGCTCGGGAGGCCGTTTGTCGTCGCTGCGGTCCGTCGGCCCCCTGGTCTCGAGCTCCCTGCCCACCCGCTTGTCGACGACGCGGAGCTCAAGAGCCGCGCCTCCTCTTCCGCCCGTCCCCCCTTCCTTTCCGGGCCTTCCAACGACCAAATGCGGCCCACGCCGTCCTCTGCCCCCGTGGCCAAGAAACCGCCCAGGGGACACACGGAGAGGCACTTGACACGCGCCCGTTCCTCCGTGCCCCCGCCTGCGGAGGTGTGGTCGAGGACAACCGGGGAAGGAAGGGCGTCGGAGGCGACAGGAGGCAGCGGGGAGGCCTTCTCCTGGAAGGTGTACTTTAGTGCGCCCAGGTCCCACACGCGGGCGGAGCCGTCATCCGAGCCCGTGAGCAACAGGTTGTAGAAAGGGTGGAAGTGCACGTAGTTGATGGTATCAGTGTGGCCACGCAGCAAGCTGAGGGGCGTCCCGTCCGCCGCATTCCATATCCGGACGACGCCGTCTTCGGAGCTGGTGGCAAGCAGGGAGTTGTCCGAGGAGACACAGAGGTCGGTGATCACCCCCGAGTGCCCTCGCAGGGACCGCATGAGGGATCCCGACCGGGCAGACCATAGCTTGACGAGCTGGTCGTCGGCGCCTGTGACCACGTACTGCCCGTGTTTGTCGTACTTGAGGCAGTAGACGGGGCAGAACATGTGCCCATTCACGGTTTTTTGATGCAGGAGTCGGGAGGCGTAGAGGGAAGGGGGGGGGAGAGCGCGGCGGGGAAGCTGCCGGCGCGCGCATGGGAGGGTTTGTCGGCGCAAGACCATGTCTGCGTGTGTCCGGCACGCCTCATGCGTCCTGCGAGTCCTGAGCGCCTGCAATTCCCGCGCACGGACCAGCAACTTGCCCACTTCGGCCTCTAAGCGGGCGACACACTCCTCCAATTCCCGGCGGGCGCGGGCCCGGGACGCGAGTCCCATCTCGTTCCAGCCCTGCTTCTCCACCCGCACCTCGGAAGCCCCCGCCTCCGCGACCCCCGCCTCTTCAATGGCTGATGCGACGATCACGCCGTCCACGTCCACCACAGGCGGGGCCTGTGGCCCCATGGACGGATCAGGTACCGAGGCGGGAGTGCCTGCTGTATCAAGCTCCCTTGCGCCGCGCATTTCTGAATTTACGTCCCCGTGACC